CAATGAAACCCAACAAAGCATGGCCTTTTCACCTCCTCTCCTCCCATCTTGGACCTGCCAGAGTTACTTTTCAGTTGTGTGAAGATTTTGGGGTGACACTGTCTGCATTGACACCCTGGAGATGAGTTACACTCATAAATGCTTCCTGATGACCTTTTCAGACTTCTCGCATATTTGTTTGAAAGGGCTGGAGGGCAAGAACTGGTTTTTCTCCCTAGCGATTATATTCTCAGTGCCTCCCAGAGTTCCCGGCTCTGAGACAGGAATGAATGACGGCCCACTACTTTGAAAATACATACTCCCAGGCCCCACTCCAGACCTACCAAGAATACTGGGCACAGGGCTCAGGACTCTATTTTTCTGAAGCCATCCTGATGATGGCTGGTGGCCATGCCTGATTTCCTGAGCCAAAACCAACTACAGCAGATGACACCTATGCTCCCCTGACATCCATCACTCAGCCTCACCACTGTGGGGTTCCCACGTCCAACTGCCAGCAGCTGTGCCTCTTTCCCTGGGGGTTTCTGTGGATGTTAGAGCAGCAGGTTGAAGGTAGCAGGGAACTGATGGCCCCTGCAAGCCATTTTCCACCAATGCCTGGTGGGATTGGTGGATAAATAACCCAGTTCACTTAGTCCTCAGCTGGGATGACTTTGAGGCCCACGTTCCTTACTGTTTTCCAGAGTTCCCCAGTGGGATTGGGCTGCAGTTGCCCACAGGGGTAATGGGGTTGATTATGCGCCCCTTATTTGTTCCTTCCCTTCCCTACCTGGCTTCCCACTGCTGTATGTGGTGTCCTGGGATCCCCTCTCAAATCAACTACCTGTGCTTGAATCCTTGTTTCAGAGTCGGCTTCTACAGCAGAGTCTCCACTGTAGACTTTCTCAGTCAGATAATTCCTTGCTCTGGGGCTGTCCTGTGTGCTGCAGGATGTTTAGCACCATCCCTGGCCTCTACTCGCTAGGTGCCAGTAGCATCTCTTCCTCTCCCAAGTTGTGACAACCAAAACCACTTCCAGCATTGCTAGCTGTCCCTGGGGGCCAACCAATTGAGAACCACTGTGCCAGGAGAACCGAACTAAGACAGTATCAATTGAAAGGTGACTGCAACTCTTCAAGAAGAGAAATGGCCTATGGATCACAGATTTTCATTCTTTCTTTCCCTGTAAGGTCAGCTCTTCAGTGTCAAATAGAAGTGGGATGGATGTTTCATTAGATGGATGAAAGTGATTCCTGCATTTATTCAACAAATAGTTACTGAGCACTTACTCTATGTTAGCTGGTTGAGGCCCTGAGATGCAGCAATAAAAATTTTTTTTAATTTAAATAAAAATAAATAGGGCTTCCCTGGTGGCGCAGTGGTTGAGAGTCCGCCTGCCGATGCAGGGGACGCGGGTTCGTGTCCCGGTCTGGGAGGATCCCACATGCTGTGGAGCGGCTGGGCCCGTGAGCCATGGCTGCTGGGCCTGAGCGTCCGGAGCCTGTGCTCCGCAACGGGAGGGGCCACAGCAGTGAGAGGCCCGCGTACCGCAAAAAAATAAAAATAAATATATACATAAATAAAAATAATAAGATTTTTAAAATAAAAAGTAAAATGTAAGTGGACACATGTCCTGCTCTCATGGAGCTTAATGTCATTTTTTAAAAAAACAGGGACTTCCCTGGTGGTGCAGTGGTTAAGAATCTTCCTGCCAATGCAGGGACACGGGTTCAAGCCCTGGACCGGGAAGATCCCACATGCCGCAGAGAAACTAAGCCTGTGGGCCACAACTACTGAGCCTGTACTCTAGAGCCCTCGAGCCACAACTACTGCAGCCCACGTGCCTAGAACCCGTGCTCCGCAACAAGAGAAGCCACCACAATGAGAAGCCCTCACACTGCAACGAAGAGTAGCCCCCGCTTGCCGCAACTAGAGAAAGCCCGTGCACAGCAACGAAGACCCAACTCAGCCAAAAAATAAATTAATTAATTAATAAAAAACAAAAACAAAAAAACAATGGAGATTTCTCCAGGATAGTACACACAGTGCCTGTGGTTCTCAAACTGTGTTCCGTGGAGTTCCATGGAGCACAGTTTCAGTAAAGGAAGCTTGGAGGCTGCTGCAGGGGATGCTACCTTCTGATGAGTGATAGGGTGAGGCCAGACTTAACTAAGGATGCTGAGACATGACAGAGACAACCTGCTGTATGCTCCACAGCTAAATTTAAGGATTTCAGAGAATTCATAAACAAATGGAATTGTGTCCTCATGACCTCTAGTCAGCCTTCTCAGGGACAGATGGATGCCAGCTTATCAGTTTTCCTAAAAAACGTAATTCAAGGCTCGTTTTCAAATGGTTGCCATTGTTTGTTTCTTTCCTTTCTCCCCTTTCTCTTAGAAATTCTGTTTTCCCCTTTATTCATTGATAATAGTCTACTGACTGTTCTTCATATGTGAACACATTTGTGTGCAGGTAACCAGCTGTCTGAATTATTTTTTAATAGGATTAAATGAGAAGACCAGTGAGTATAGTACCAGACCCCAACTCTCCCTTAATCCACTCCCCCTTTATATTTTTAAATATTGGGGCTTAGGGTGTTATTTTGTCTGGCAAAAAGATACTTTTCTCAAAAAAAAAAAAAGCAAAAGTGAAAAAACCCTACAACAAAATCCACTGGGCTAAAGTAACTCAACAACGGACTGGCAGGTGCTTTGCTGAGTGGGACGTGCTGATCAACCGAGGTGTCTTGCAGGTCAGGTACCTTTGAGGAAGTGCCTGCCCCCCTCTGGTGTCCGGTATAAATTGTCACCAGGTAGTGGTACTGGGCAAAGGGGTCATTGTCCTCCAGCACTGTGACCTTCACCTGGACAGAAGGGTGGCATTAGGAGGGCTCTGCTTGGTGGGTTCATCCACAGCACAGCAGCCAAGAGTGAGTTGGGCATTCATGGCAATTAAAGGGGGAAAGCAAAACTATGTATGCTATTGATTCATTCTATCAGGTGAGAACTGTTCTTTACAACAGCAGGGTTTTAAGTGAAAACCAAAACTTTTAAACTAAAAAAATACATTCATTATTAAATACCACCCAAAGTAGTCAAATTGGAAATGAACTTGGTATTAAGCTGAGAATGTTTGATGCTTGAGCTGATGAATGCAAACTCTGTTCATAAACAATTTCTCATAACCTTGGTAACCAGATTGTGCCTCTAAGGGAATTTAGAAGGAATGAATGTTAAGTTGTTTTCGCAGAAAATAAATAGCAGGTGTTGGTCAGGGCTGCAGAGCACTCTGTGATGAGCTGCCCAGATCTCCTGTCAATGGAGGGCTGTTTTCCCAGTTGCCCAGGTGGTGTAGCCAGGAATGCAAGAGTCGCCTCTGTCAAGGTCATGCCCCATCCTGGAGAGGCCGATATCTAAGAACAGATTGATGCATTGCCCAAGATCAAGACCTGGGCTTCTCAACCCAACTGAGGACAGTTCTAGAGCTCCCCAAGGGGTCCCCCAGCTGTCAGTGGGCTGCATCCCAGCTTGACTTCTTCCCCTGCCCATCCTGCCTCCTTCCCTCCCTGCCCAGGGGCTGATCCCAGGCACTCCCTGGTAAACACCCTGCATACTTAACTCCATCTCAGAGTCTGCTTTCCAGGAATGAACCTAAAGCTGAGGGACTTAACGTATTAATGTTAAATCCCTTGGGCAAATCAAAGACAGCAGGATAAATGGGGCAACTATTATCTTTTTAAGTTTCATACCATCCTAACAAGCTGAGAAGTATTGCTGTGTATAGGGGCGGTAGGGAATGTTGAAAGTTTCAGAGCTTTGTGACAATGCATCCTTGTATTCATTTGTGCGCCCAGTCACTCATGAATGTTTATTGAAGGCTACTATGTGTCAGATATGATGCATGTATCAGAAAAATAATCAGAACTTTGTTGTCACAATTGGTCGCACAAATGGTTATAGTTTGATCTCGTTTCTATCCTCAGACCTGACTTATTGTCAGGCAGATCTGGGTTCGAATTCTGGCCCCTGGCAGGGAGGTGGCTTTGGACTAGTTAATTGCCCTCTCCGCTCCTCACTTGCCTCCTCTGTAAAATGATAAAGGTGCTGTGCAGTAAAGGGTGAATTCAGCAGGCTTGGGTTATCCAAACCCTACACATTCCAAAGCATGGACCGGTTTTGGCCAGCTCATGGAAGATAACCTCTAAGTCCTTGAAATAGCCTGCTTGATAAGAGTGTCTGACTACGTGGGGCCTTGGGCCACCCCAGGCAGTATGTGCTAATGATGTGATCTGTGGTGAGGGCTTTGGGCCACACTCTGTCAGTCTGACCTAGGCAGGCATGGGGAGCAGTGGTTGCTGGAGACTAACTGAAGTCAGTCATGCAGGCTCCATACCTATGGGACTTACTCCCAAGAAAACCCTGGGCACCAAGGCTCAGGGGAGCTTTCCTGGTTGGCCTTGCTTCACATGTGCTGTCACACGTCATTGCTAGGAGAATTCATCTGTCCCTAGGACTCCACTGGGAGAGGAATATTAGAAGCTCTTGCCTGATCCCTCCTGGACCCTTTCCTTTGCTGATTTTAATTTGCACCATTTTCACTATAATAAACCATAATCGTAAGGATAGTGGCTTTTTTAAGTTCTGTGAGTCCTAGCAAATCACTGAACTCGAGGGTGGTCTTGGGGACTCTCAGCACAGTACCTTCTCCTTGGGACTATCGTGAGCATTAAGTGGGGGTAGTACCTGGCACATAGTAAATTCTCAATAAGAGGTCAGTTTCATACTCCTCCTGATACTTTGATGAACAAGGACATTTTACTGGTCAAGAGGCTGAGGGGCCAGCTTACCTGAGATGACTCCAGGGGTCAAGGCCTGGATTTGCAGCTGGCCCCTCAGCTCCCCACCTGGGCTCCATCCCCTGGAGCCCCTGCAAGGGGACACTCCTGTCTTCCCTCCTGCTGCTGGGGACTGTGCAGCCTCACTTTGGCCTGATCCTGAGCGTCCTTCCTCCTCGCCCAGATCACCACCAGCACGTAGGCCACACAGAGGCAGACTATGGTGGTCACGACCACAGGGCTGTCCGCGAAGGTGGCAAAGAGCTCAGCGGTCTGGCGGACGTCCACGGCATTGGGCATGACCAGGAGCGTACTTCCACAGAAGGTGAGGTGGTTGCAGAGGCGGTGTATCTGGGAGCGGGTGGTCCGTGGCCCCCCGCAACCCCAGAGAGGCCCTGGTAGGGATATTCAGGGAGCACTTCCCCGCCCGCCCGAGCTCAAGTGGGGAGAACTGTGGGGGGGACACTGTCCTGGGGAGGGGCTGGGGAGGCTGCTGGGAGACCAGCTCCGGGATTCCTTTGGGCTTTTTTATTTAGTTAAGAATTAATTTTAAAATGCAGAGAATAATGTCTATAATAAGCATCTTTGCACCTGTCGTCCTCAGTGAGCAACTGTGTCCATCTTGCCAGTCTGCTCTGCTTTTTTTAGGTAAGAAGTATTACGGGTAAAATTGAAGTCCCTTCTGTCCGCCAGCCTCCAAAAGCAGCCGTCACCACACATTTGGTGTGCGTCCTTACATTGCATTCTCCCGCCGGGTGCTCGTTCACTGGGCAGCTATTTGTCGGGTGCTCCTTCCAGGCCAGGCAATGGGCAAGGCGCTGAGAGGACATTCAGGGTGACCAACTCATCTCAGTTTGCCAGAGACTTTCCTGCTTCTCACACTGAAAGCCCCCTTAGTCCCAGGCAAACTGGGACAGTTGGTCATCTTACACTGAAGAGCAAAAAAAAAAAGACGGAGGTTGGGGGAACCATGCAAGAAAAAGGGAAGGACAGATATTTAAATCCTAAGCTGGTGTCTCAGCACCAGGAAAAAATTCTCTAAATTTTACCCACCTTAGATCGAGGCACCTGCGGCACCCCTGTTCTGGGCTCATGCTTTGGAGAGTCCCAGCCTAGCCGTCCTCAGGCTGCGCCCTTCTGCCCAGGATGAGGAGTCGGGGGCGGAGCAGGGCATGCCCACCACAGCACATACCACTCAGCCAGGACTAGGGCAAGGTCCTAGGTGACCCCAAGAAAGATCCCCCGCTTAAATTTTGCACCCTAGATGCCTCACTTGCCTCACCTAGTCCTGGCCCTGGCATGCCCACTTTTAGACGGTGGTTTGGGGACCTGGACTTCAGAATTCCCTGTTACAGGGCCTGCCCAGACCCATTCCTCAGGGTCATCCTTCTGTGGAGGACTGGCTACTGCTGTGGCCATCCCTGGGCACAAGGGTGGCAAAACTTGGGGAAACGGGGTGTGTAGATGGAACTTGGGCACGAGGTCCCTGGTGGTGTGGGGAGTGCGGTTGGGGGAGGGAGGAGACAGGGATGAGGCAGGGCAGGGCCCCCATCCGGCTCTTAATTCATACTCTGCACTTAGGGGCAGTCCTTCCCTAAAGCCCCCAGCCAGCCTGCAATCCACCCAGGGCCATTTGGTGGGTAAAGATTTAATTCAAACCTACAACCCAGCACTACCTTTTCATTCCAGGGTCCACAACGAGGTGGTAAGGTAGGAGGCAACAGAAAATACTGGCATGCGGAAAGTTCTGTGCCCAGCACCTGGTGAGGAAGAGCCTGCAGCAGCCCAAACATCCCAGCAGGTAATTCTTTTACCTTGAACGAGCCACCGAGGGAGGTTGACCCCTCCAACAGCTATGGCGTCAACTGCTTTATTGACAGATTTCACATGGGTCTTAGTTCCATGTTTGCTCACCGTTTCCCAATCCTGGTCAGCATTTGGCATACAGCTGTGGGTCTTACAGGAACCCTTGGCACACCCAGGAGGGGTGGGGCTAGTTCAGAGAAGAACCCCAAGCTAGTACCAGTGACAAGACCATCTCAGCGCTGGGAGCCCAGGGACCAGACCTGATTTATGCCTAACATCTTTGCCCTCCTGGGTTTTCACAAAGACTTGGAGGACAGTGGCTTTCCCAGTCTTTTCCAGCATGAGAGTCCTTTTGAAAACCATAAATTAATCTGGAAAGACCAGAAAATTTTCATGAGATCCCCTCGTGACAGTAGTTTCACCTTTAGAATCCTTCGAGAAAAATGTACAAATAATGCAGTTCTCAAACTCCTTGCAACAATTCTGCATTTCCCCCCTGATAAGGTCTGCAGTTTACAGATTTGGAACTTTCTTTAGTTATTTTGAGAATACAGTTGTGGTTTTCCATCCAAACTTAGTGATCGCATTTACTTATTTTTTTTCCCCATTCACTTATTTATGGCTCCTCAATGATCTCTGTATTGAGATCTCTGTATCAACATCTATATAATGAGCATCAGGTACACAATATTGGGTTAATATAATTTTGGCACTATAACACAGCCCCCACATTCTTTTTTTTTTTTGTGGTACACAGGCCCCTCACTGTTGTGGCCTCTCCCATTGCGGAGCACAGGCTCCAGACGCGCAGGTTCAGCGGCCATGGCTCAAGGGCCCAGCCGCTCCGCGGCATGTGGGATCCTCCCGGACAGGGACACGAACCCGTGTCCCCTGCATCGGCAGGCGGACTGTCAATCACTGCGCCACCAGGGAAGCCCCCACATTCTTTTGTACACCCCACATTCGTGTATGTGTGCATTAGTAGCTGTATATTCTTAATAACATAATAAGCACCTGGGAACCCATGACTCCACTCAAAAGCTAGGAACTTTCCAATAAGTTACGTTTAGCTAAGTGGTCCTCCCCCAATCCGTCCCCATGCTCCCCCTCAACCCAACCGCATGCTGAATCCTATGTCCATTGTTTTCCTTGATTTCCATTTTATATAGTTTTGTCTTCTCTATGCTCAGAGTGTCTAACACAGCAATCACTTCAATCTGTGGAGGACCTCCTATGTGCCAGGCACCACATTAAGTACTTTATACCCCTAACCTCGTCCAGGTCCCACCCTCGTCCAGGTCCCACCCTGTGGTAAGTGGCAGCCATCCTTTATCCCCATTTGCAGATGGGAAAGTTCAGAGAGGTGGGGTGCCTTGTCCAAGGTCACCTTGCAAGTACTGATGACGTGAGATTGGACCCAAGTCTGTCTGATGGCAGAGCCAGTGCCGCCAGCCCCTGCACCATCCTGTTCTGAGCCCCGGCCTTGGAAGGCAGGCTGCAGCGGGTATTCTGCCAGCAACGTGGGGATCAGACAAGCTTTTGGTAGCGAGGACTCTAAAAGGTTGCAACACACCCAGGGTCTCGTTCACGAGGTACAAAGACCTGTGCTTCAGGTGTGGGGGACCCACTGTCTCTTGGACATCTCAACGTACCTTCGTCTCTTCTTGGCACTTTGAGGGGGGCTCCCTATGTGTGGCAGCTGGAAGCAGGAGTTGACAAGGAAGCCAAAGATGCAGCAGAAACAAACCCGGAAGGAGCTTGGCTTTAAGTCCCCTTCTGTGGCTCTGCTGGGACCTGGCTTCTTACACTACTTATGACTGTTGTCATTGGACATATGTGCCATTTGCTTCTTGTCTGTGTCCTCTGCTAGACTGAAAGCTCACTGGTTTTTCTCATCATTGTATCCCTATCAGTTGGCCTTGCACCTGGTGAATATTTGTAGAATGAATGAAAGAAGGTATATGGTGTAGGGGATGGAGACAGGTGTGTGACAAATTTCAACTAGATGTGGAGGTTGCTGTTCTTGGGGAGGGTATGGAAGTCCAACAGAGGGAGACTGAAAACATCTGCCACCCAAAGAAGGTGGCATTGGATTGGGAGATTGAAGGGTGAATGGGAGTTTTCCAGGCAGGGTAGGGAAGAAGGGTGTCCTGGGGGAGACAGCAGCATATGCAAAGGCATGGAAGAAGGAAGGGGGACACTGATACCTCAGGGATGGCTTTTGATGGCCTCAAAGCCAATGTCTGTCACCAGGACAGTGTCATGGGCTTGGGTCCTTGGAGGCAGAGCTGAGCTGCCCTGAGACAGGGATCTGATTGCAATTAATAGGGCCCCATGCCTCCAAGGGCTCTGTGAGCTCTGGAGAAGCAGTGCGTCACGTTGCTTAGAACTTTTGCTCTGGGGACAGACCTGGGTTTGAGTCTCAGCTCTACCACCTTCTTATTTGCTTCCCTTTCCTTACCTGGCACCTGGAGTTGTCCCAAGTCCCCTGGACCTCATCCCAGAACACAAATGGGACAGGAAGTTGGTGATGTCAACTGTGAAGTCCCTGGCGGGGGCCGGCTCCAGGTCAGACTGGGGGATCACAGTCAGATAGTAGATGCCTTCTCCAAAATGCAGGTCCTCTGGGCTCAGGATCCATGTGGACAGCCCATCTTCAGGAAGCGGGGGTCCGGATCAGTCTGAAGCCTCATGGAAACTGGACTAACGTGATGGGAGAGGGGCACCAAGATGCCTTGGCAGGGAATCTGATCCTGATGGCTGCCCCGATGTCCTAGGAGTACCCTCTCCTCCTGAGACCAGGAGCATGGAAGAAGAGGCACTCCCAAGTCAGGGTGCTGAGCACAGCTGCCAAGTCAGACTGACCAGGTCTCAAATTCTGACTCTGTCCCTTCTTGGCTGTGTGACTTTGGGCCAGTTACTTAACCTCTCTGTTTTTATCTGAAAAGTAGAAATTTTATTCTTCTTCATCCCTAAGGGCTATTATGAGGATTGTAATGAGTTCAGTTCTGTGAGTGCTTGTCAGCTTCTTCAGGGCAAGTGTTCACCTAATATCACTTAGTAATAGTAATAATACCACCAACAGAAATAAGCACTGAATGTAGCAAGTGTTTTTCTGTTTTTCTTTTTCCCTATGGCCCTGATTCTCAAGTTTTAAGCTGGTCACATCCCCCAGGAAGCAGCTCAAGAAACTGGCCCAGTGGTGGGACTACCTGGAACAGCCGTTGACAGGAGGTGAGCTTGGGCGTCGTCGCTGGTCACGCTGGGGTGGTAGCCGTAGCCCAGGCTGAGCATGAGTGGGATGTCAGATCTCCAGTGCAGCTGGATCCCCAAAGCCACACCCCCTGAAGTCAGGTTCACGCACAGAGCTTCAGGTCTGGTCAGGTTCAACACAGTTGGCTCGCTGTGTCCTTCTGAAAGCTGAGGCAGCAGGATCTGTCATCAGAAACAGTCAAATCAAGGGTGTGCGAGGACAGGAATGCCAGTGAGCGTCAGGGCTGCTGGGCAGGGTGAGCCCCTGGGGACCCGAAATCCACCCTGCGCTCTGCTCTTTCCACTAGTTTCCGGGGGCTGCCGTGACAAATGACCACAAACCTGGTGGCTTAAAACAACACAGATTTATTCTGTTACAGTTCTGGATGCCAGAAGCCCAAAACCAGTCTCACAGAGCTGCAGTTGGCAGGGCTAGTTCCTTCTGGAGGCTCCAGGGGAGAATCCCCTTCTTTGCCTATTCCAGCTTCTGGAGGTGCCTGCAGTCCTTTGGCTCATGGCCCCTCCTTGCATCACCCAACCTCTTGCTTCTGTCATCAAATCACCTTTTACTTTTCTGGAGTCAACTCCCCCTCCGCCTGCCTCTTAAAAGGACCTCTTGATGACACTGGGCTCACCCAGATAACCCAGGATCATCTCTATATTTCAGGATCTTTAACTTGAATCACATCTGCAAAGTCCCCTTTTGCTACATCAGGTGACGTATTCACGGCTCAGGGATGAGGATGTGGATAGCTTGGGGACGTTTATTCAGCCAGTACTCATCGAGCTGTTCACCCCAGCTTGGGGCTGCATCTGCACAGAAAGTGCACAAGGGTGGCATATGAACTAGTGGTGGTGTCGATCAAAGAGTGGAACAAGTAAGATTAAGTTAGGAGCACAGGCCGCAGAGGCACAGAGACCTCTGTTTGATCTTGACTCTGCCCTGTATTAACTCTGGGACCTCTGACCAATTAACAGACCACTTTGAGCATCAGTTCCTTTTCTTTTTCTTTCTTTCGTTTTCTTTTTCTTTTTTTTTTTTGGCCTCACTGCACGACTTACGGATCTTAGTTCCCCGACCAGGGATCAAACCCAAGCCCTCAGCAGTGAAAACACGGAGTCCTAACCACTGGACCGCCAGGGAATTCCTGAGCCTCAGTTTCTTGTCATCAGTAGAATACATAGACTCACGGAGACTATTCAGAATGTTATCATATACAAAATACTGAGTCAGGTGCCAGATACACAGTAGCGCTCACCAGTTAGTTGCTGCTATTCCTCTGCTTTTACTCTTACATTAGAATTTCTCACAACCACTCTCCACTTAATCAGCTCTCCAGCTTAACTGATGCCCTCCATCCCCTTTTAAAAACAGACTGATTAATGCCCACCATGCACTTTTTATTTGCTCCTGGTGGCCCTCTACGGTAGACACAGGAATATGCCACCCAGCTCTCCCTTCTAGGAAGGACCTCCTACCCAGTCACAGGGAGTATGGTCAGCAGACAGGCTCCAGCTCTCAGCTCCTTCAGGGTCTGCCCTGAAGAATTTATTACTTATATTCCCTAGGAGCGGAGGACCTGCCATGCCACGCAGGGCCACAAGGGAAGCACTCAGTCAGGATGCAGGAGCAGGCAAGGGGGAAAGCCTAGTCCACAGCTTTATTGGGGTTTCCACAGGAAAGGCAAGACAGGGCATAGAAAACAGCTTAGGATTGGCCAGTCTGAATAATTCCAGCAGACTTTGGCTATAGGGCTGGTCTCTAGTTGGTACGTGGCCCTGGGATGATTTGGGGCAGAGCTTGAATATTGGCCTGGTGAGTGAGTGAGATAAAGCGGGTGGTTGGGGTATAGACTCAGGACTGGTTGGTGTTCACATGAAAGGTGTGCCCTGGCAGAGCCCTTGCTCTCTCTGAGAACTGGCTGGCCCCGGGAGGGGCAGTCTCTCCCCGCCAGCAAGATTTTTAAGGTATCAAAACATCATAACATACAGAAGATAGCAAACACGATTGCTAGAGCCCTGGTGGCTGCTACTTGCTGCAGAGCCCCCTCTGGGTTGACTGAGCCTTTGTGGAGTCCGGATTGTAGTCTGACTTCTGTCCAATCCTGTTTTCTTTCTTCACTCGCCACAAGCATTGATCTCTAGCAAGCATCTTGCAGCACAAACACCTTCTCAGTGCCGGCTTCCAGGGAACTCAACCTACGACATCTCCTCTCTAGTAATCCTGGCAGCCCCTCCTGCCTGTCAGGCTGTATGCTCAACAATAGACAGTTGTGTCTGATCCCACACCCGCTAACGTCCATTGTACTTGTGATTGTAAGGGTCTGTTTTGATGATAGCTCTCATAGAGTGATAAGTTAACAAAGTAGGAGTGTAAAAGAACTATTTGCATAAAAACTTAAGTTGAAGGCTTTGAGAAGACTCAGTAAAGATGAGTGGGGAAAAATTGTTATTGAATTAGTCACTGATGAGAAAACTAGAAGATTAGAAAAAAAGTCACTACAATCTCAAAAGAATCTGAACTCATACCAGCGTGCCTACATTTTTTATTCACTTTAAAGAAAATCTAACTATGTTCAGGGGATGATTTATGTAGTGAAGATGATTCAAATTCCAATCAACAGATTTAAAGAAACTTTCAGTTGTACACCTTAAGATTGATGATGACGTACATTTATAGTTTTACGTTAAAATACAATGCTTAAGGGAGGATAAAGATCATTTTTAATGATTCTCTTCTTTAATCTTTCTTTTTTTTTTTTTCCCATAACCGACCAACTTTTTGTCCCAACCAAGTTGAAAAAGAAGACAGAAGCACCTCCTGACTTCTGAGAGCACCCCAAGTCTACCTCGATATCCTCCGACAAATTCTTCACAGGGATGAGCTGTCCACTAGGGCTGGTCAGAGGGAGGCCACCAACAGTTCCGCTGACACCGAAGTGACTTCGCGCTGGGAATGGGTTCTTTGGGAAACTCTTCATCTGAAACCAGGAACAAAGAGTGTCAGCCAAGGGCCCCGAAGACCGGAAGGTGACTAGTTCCCTGTGTGAAGGATGAGGTTTCCTAAGATGGGATGGGCAAGTGGCTCTTGCCCTGTGGGGTGACTGGGAGGGCACCCCGCCTTTAGCTGCTGCTGTCTGTCCTGGTATGTGTCTTCCCTTCAGGATTGTGGCTTCAGAAAGCTGGGCCTAGAGAACCAATCAGACTTGTTACAGCCGAGCAGTTACTGGGCTATAAACAGTCTGAGCCTTTCTTCCTGCAAAGCCAGCAAGTCTCTAAGAGAAAGAAGTTTGTCTGCTTTCTCTGAGGCTCAAGGAGCAGAGAGTCAGATGTGCCCTAATTTGGGAATGGAAAGAGCCCTGAGTTTACTGTTTCCTAGCTATGGAACAAAGTCTGAAGAGCTTCATTTCCAATGACTAATTAAACCAGGGCTGCTGGAGAAATTCCACAACACAGTAGAAAGAGGATGGATTGGGGAGTCAGAGGCCTGGGTCTAAACCCAGCTCTGCCACTTTGCTTGTGGCCTCAGGCAAGTCACTGAACCTCACCTGTAAAATGGGCATAATAATTCCATAATCGACAGGGTTGTTATCAACATAAATGAGCAAATATATGTGCAGGTGCTTTGCAAACTCTAAAGGGCTGTTCCCAGGGAGATTCCTTCCGTTGTTACCCTTATGTCCACAGGCACCCTACCATCCTCCATGGAGCCAAGGGAGGGGGCAGCGGGCAGGGTGAAGGTCGCAGAGCTGGCAGCAGCAACGTGCACAGGGGAGCTTCGCTAACTCCGGGGCTGCATTCTTTCCACAAGGTGAGAACAGAGGTGCCTGGAGAGAGGGGAGAAGGTCAGATAGAGGAAGGTCTGCCCACCTCTTGCTCTACAGGGATCCTGGCTTTAGCATCAGAGTGGGTGGCTCTTTTGTGATCCCTGTAGATAGTTCTGCATATTTACATCAGTAGGAGCAGCATAGAAGGCAGCCAATGTCTCCACTCTGGGCTGGCGGCTCCCTGAGGACAGGGCTGTGGCCAGCTTTGCCTACTGTGGCACCCCAGTGCCTAGAGCAGTGCCTGCCTCATGATGGTGGTCAATACGTATTTTGTTGAATGAATAAATGAGCTTGGCTGTAGACATTTCTCCAGACTTATCTCCCCTACCTACTTGACCTCTGATGTCATGGGCTCCCATAAAGCCATCTTTACTGGCCTTTGACCTCATCCCATCTGAGTAGGCTGGGGATCTGGTTTCAGACCCTAGTGCTGATCCAGATGCTGCTCTGGGAAACTGCCCATGGGATCCAGGAGAGCACCCCTGGCAGGAGGAGCCAAGGGAGGGTGCTCGGAGCCGGGGGTCTCAGCGGTGCCTGCAGCGTCATCCAGCCCACGACTGTCATGGGAAGGGATGGAAGGGGGAGGGCATCCCCAGGTACTGGAGGAGGGCTCAGTGAGTGGTAGTAGGCAGGAGCTCTATGGAGAAACTCCCAAGGCAAGTGCGTCCGGAATCCCCACAGGTCCACAGAGCAGCAGGCTTGCCAGACACACTCTTGGTGAGGTTAAAAGTGGGCTAGTCCCCTTCATTCTGCCCCCTCACCTGCACAGCCCAACATGACCCGTCTCTCAGGACACATGTGTGGCTCTGACACTGGCGTGGCGCTCACCACGTCCCTTCCTGTGCTGCACAAACACCCAACACGGGGACCTTCTCTTGGTGAAAAGCCCTTTCCACTCTAGCTCCCATCACTTCCCCCACTGCCAGGCAGGTCTCCTGGGCTCTGCCTGTCACAGGGTCTTGGGATGTGGGTGTGGCATGAGCCAGGTCAGGGGATACCACAGTGTAGCCGGTTACCTGTTTGTGTACACGGAGATGGAGGGGGCGGCCAGCGTGGCTGGAAGGCCCCTGGGCAGTCCCCCCCGGCAGGACGGCGGCCTGCATGTGCCCCACAGCTCCCAGAAGCTGGGGCACTATGGCTGTCTGGAAAAGGAAGCAGGGGACACTGCTGTGGACTGGTGTCCGTATACCACCTTTGGTTACTGCCACCAGGCTAGTGTGCCCTTTGGCAGGAACCGGCAGAGGAGCAAGGCAGAGACCATGATGGAAGGCCCCTTCCTGGGCACCAGGCGCTGTAGGGAGCCAAGAGTGAGCACTTAGAAGATTCCAGGCTCTGCCAGCAGGTGCTTTACCTCCCCTGCTTGGCAGACGGGGAGACAGAGGCACAGAGAGAGTGATGACTTGTGGCGGCCACGCACTGATAAGGGGAAGCGCCAGGATCACGGCAGGGCTCACTGTGTGCCTGGCCGTGCTGCTCCATTGGACCCTGACATCTGCCCACAGCCCAGGTCTTATTCGTGGGGAAATGGAAAGTCACAGGCAGAGCCATTGCACGGGGTCACCCGGGCTCAGACTCCAGTCCCCATGCAACCCAAGCCCTTGGGTGAAGATGTGGCGTTGCTGAAGCCAAGGCAGCCGTGGGGAGCAGGAGGGCTGGACGTCTGTGCAGAGTTCCTATCAGCGTGCAGGCTGCGCGTGCGTGCGTGCATTACGTCTGATGGGTGTGCGACCGTACGTGCGTGAATGTGAGTGTTACATGTGTGTTGAGGGGGACTGGGTGTGAATGTAAGTATTTGAGTGTGTGTGTGTGAGTGTAAGTGTGTGAATGTGTGTCTGAGTGAATGTGGTTTGAGGGTGTGGGAGTATAAGTATCTGAGCATGAATGAGTGTGCGTATGTGGTTTTGTGTGTGACTGCAGCCATATATGAGAGTCTGTGTGTTTGTGTGACTGTGTGGCCCTGTGTGAAGATAGGAGTGTAAATGTGCATCTGTGTGAGTGTGTGCCGGAGTGTGTGCTTCCCGATGTATGTGAGCATAAATGAGTGCCTAGAAGTGTGTGTGAATGTGTGAGTGTGTGTGATTGAATGTGTGTATGAGTGTTAGTGTTTGTGGGTGTGTGTGAGTGTGTGGATATGTGTTTGAGTGTGTTTGTGTGGCCGCGTGTGAGAATGTGTGTGTGAGCCCTTCTTGAATGCAGTGATGGCCCCGCATGGTAAAGGGCCGTGGAGCAGCAGGTAATGGGTTCTGTGGCTCCGTCATGATGACGTCCTGGGTGCTGCGGCCACATGAGGCTGTGCTGCAGCTCTTCTTACTCTGGGGGCTGCCTCTCTTCTAAAGATGTTCTGTATCCTGTCTAAGTGAAGCAGGAGTTGGATTCAAACTTGCAAGGGTGAACCTACGATCTCTCCAACGGGTGGCCTCTCTAGGATGAGGCAGAGCTTGTCCACCTACTACAGATGAGGAGATGAGGCTGCAGGAAGTTGTGTCACTGGCCCAGGTCACAGGGCTTGTGAGTGACAAGGTCAGGGTTCAAACTCAGGCTGCCCCTTTTGAAGGCTACGCTTGGCCTGTTGTACACTGCCTCCCAGAAGCTCTAGTCTCTGGAGCCTTTCTTTCAGCTCCTAGAAAGGGCTTTAACCTCAGTGCCTCAGTTTTCTCATCTGCAAGATGTGCAGAAAGACCCACCTAGAAGTGCTGGTATGAGCTGGGCACATGGTAAGCGTGACGTCTGTGTCTGGGCTGGGACACCTACCTGGCTGCCACTGGCCCCTGCAGGCTCTTCTGGTCTGTCCCTCAGGGAAGCTTCCAGCACGCTGCACACAGCCTGGAACCAGGTCCCCGGTGGCCTCCTGGTGCCTCTGGTCCTCAGGATGGGCCTCGGCACTCACTGCCAACAGGGCCTCACTGGCATGCTGCAGAGCCCTGCTGGCCTCCCGCTGGGCTCACCCCAAGGAGGAGGAAGAACAGCATGCGCCCCTGCCTGGGTTAGACCAGCCCCTGGGCCATTCCAGGGACCAGCGCTGCAGTGGAGGGGAGCAAGGTGGGGGCTCAAGCCAGGGAAAATCTGGTCTGGGCCCGTCACACAAGCTGCCTGTGTCACTGACTTGAGGCCAGGTGTTCCTTCCCTATCACGTTCTAAGTTCCTTCAGAACACTAGCCTCATGCATCTCTGGATCTTTCCCAGAGTGCCTTGCACAATGCCCAGCACATAGTAGGCATTCAGTAAACATTCACTGACTTGAGATAGCCGGCTGGCTGGCTGGCTGGCTGGGTGGATGGATGGATGGATGGACATAGCACTTATTCTGATTTTGTAATTATATATTTATTTGTGAAATGGTTTAGTAACTGGCGGGCCCAGTTGTCTAAAAGTGCCATGAAGGCAGAGGCCATGTCTATGTGATTTGCTGATGAATTGTCAATGAGTTGCATAGTACCTGGCACATACTAGGCATCAGGGGAGCACTTGTTGAATGAATGAAAAAATTAATGCATGGATAAATGAGTGGAAGGGTGGAGAGACAGATGTATATGTACGTGTATAGATGTATGTGCATAGAAGGGATGCATGAGCAAATGGATGTGTAAAGTGGGAAGTATGATATTAGGGTGATCAGGGTCCCAGAAATAAAGGTCAGCATAGCAGGCTCCAGGACCAGGAATGTGAGGGGGACAACCTCCTGACAGAGTGGGTGGGGCAGAGCCAAGACAGCTCTCCCCTTTACTGCTTACGGCTTCTTTATTGACATTTGTCTGCCACAGCATTGGGAACGTGGTGATTCAGTTTGAGCTCTCCAAGAAGCAGGCCCTAAGGCAAGAATTTGACAACCAGTCATTTATTTGGAGATAATCCCGGGAAATGCTGGAAGCAGAATGGGGAAGTGAGACAGGGAAGGGTAGGAAGCCAGTCCAGGGTGTGTGATCAAGCCACTTACCTGGGGCTCAGTCCTACTTGGGAGGTCTCCACCAAGAGGAGCAGGGGAGCCGGGGTATCTGTACCCCAGCCCATTAGTCACTGAGAACTGCATTGACCCCCTGACATGTCCAACCTGCCATGTGGGCAGGCAGAATGGACTCTGGAGGGGAGGTCAGAGAAGGCCCCCAGGCAAAGAAAGGCAAGAGCTGGCAGCTGGACATCACAGTGCACTCAAGTGGGGGACATGGTCAGGTCAGCAGCAGCATCTGGACACACCCTTGACCACCCAATGATTAGTTAGATTCAGGTGCGCACCGGCTGGTGGGGGAGTGAGGTGTGTGAGCACACAGGCCATCACAAGCAGCGGGAGACCCAGGGCTGTGAGGGGGGCACCTTCCCTCCCTTGGCATCGCCCATGTGGGGCCCTTGGGAACAAGAAGGCAGAAGTCTTGGAGGCCCTGTGACTGAGGGACCTGCGACCTGGGTTGGGGTTTGTTGTCAGCCACCCACCGCAGAGGTGCACGTCCTATTGCCTGGCTCAGCGGGTGGGAACTACTCACCTGGGCCAAGGGCGTGAGCTCCTCACTGCGGCGGGTCACCTCTTTCAGTGCCTCGGCCAGCTCCTGCACCTTCTGCATGTCCCCCAAGGTGGTGCTGACCGCAGGCAGTGACCCCGCAGACACAGGATGCGCTCTCTGACCTTGGCATAGACATAGGAAGGTGGGGAGAGGAAATGTAATTCCAGTGGCTTGATGAAGCTGTTTCAGAAAGATTTGGGGTCTGAGAAAGTGACCAGGCTCATGTGGGGTTTTCCAAAGCCGGTAGACCTCTTCTTGTCTCCTAGGATGTGTGGTGGGCAGAATCATAGCCTCCCAAAGATAGCTACATCCTAATCTCTGAAATCTATGGATATGTTACTCACATGGCCAAAGGCACTTCGGAAGAATCGCTTTGGAGATTTGATTAAGTTAAGGATTCTGAAACGGGGAGAGTATCCTGTATTAACCAGTTGGGACCAATGTAATCACAGGGGTCTTTACTAGATGGAGGTAGGAGGGTCAGAGTCAGAGAAGATGTGATGATGGAGGCAGAGGTGGTGGAGAAGGAGAGGGAGATGGAGATGGGGAGAGAGGGACAGAGGGAGAGGAGTCGGGATTTGAAGATGCTGGTGTTGAAAATGGGGCAGGAAATGTGAGCAGCTTCTAGAAGCTGGAAAAGCCAATGGGTGGATTCTCCTCTAGAGCCTCCAGACAGTTCACAGCCCCACCACCGCTTTGGTTTTAGCCCAGTGAGACTCATTTCAAACTTCTGACCTCCAGAAATGTAAGATAATAAATATGTGTTGTTTTAAGTCATAAAGTTAATGGTTATTTGTTATAGCAGCAGGAGGAAACTAATACAGGATGTCTCAAGCTTTCTCCAAATCTTGAAATCAAATATGTTGTATCTGGGGAATTCCCTGGCAGTCCAGTGGTTAGGACTCTGCACTCTCACTGCCAAGGGCCTGAGTTCGATCCCTGGTCAGGGAACTAAGATCCCATGTGCCACATGGCACGGCCAAAAAAAAAAAAATCTGTAAAATCTGGCATTATTTAAAAACAAATGGTGTCTCAGGGTCTCACTGTGACTAAAATGGCATGAAATTCAGAAATTGGATTACTCTGTTGGCCCAGTATGGATGGGAGGTCTTGTTGCAGACTTGGGTCCCTGTGTGCCTTTGGGGCAATGGGGACAAGGATCCCTCCAGCCATCCCCCAACTCCAGCCTTAAGCCAGACCTCCTGCGGCTTCCGGGGAGCATGCTTTCTAAGCCGCAAAGCCCTAATGAGAGGGGCTGGCTTTGGCTGAGGCAGAGAAAAACCTAAGAATATAATTTTAATACCACCCCATCAAACTTTCTGCATTTATAGAAATGTTCTGTCCCTGTTTTGTCCAGTAACATAGCCACTTGCCAAATGCGACTACATATTAAGCCCTTGAAATGTGGCTAGTGCAACCAGAGAACTGAATTTTTAACTTTACTTCATTAAAAGTCATTTTAATTTAAATGTACATGGCCAGACGTGGCTCATGCAACAATCTGGAAGAACACAGATAGAGGTGAGTAATCCCTCTTACCCTCCCGTCCTGCTTGCTAGTCACAACTCACTCTTCTAGCTGTCTAACAGTCGTTCACAGCAGCTGCAGAGTTTGAGCATGTCTGCCAACAGCTCAGGGTGCAGCCAGGCTTCCATTCAGGGCGTGGCTGGGATGGAGGAAAGAATAGCCCTGTCTATGAGGGGACTCCTGTCAGAACGTTCTGGAACGAAAGTCAGGTAATGGATAATCTCATGTTTGCCTCTGCAGCTCTTCCCCATCCTTGGTCGCCATCCTGAAGGCTGCTTTCATGGAGATGTCACTGGCTGCTGAGCCTCTGGCTCATGGATTCACTCAGCGGGAGACGAGAGGGCAGGAGGAGAGAGAGCTGGAAGCTTTGCTCCCAGCACCCTCCCTGCCGGGGTTGCCTGCCTCATCCTTCAAAGCCACCACTCCTACCGGGGAGCCCCCTCCACGCGTAGCTGCCCCTTGAGGATGCTGGTCACTTCAAGGTGAGCCCCTGGGGTCCTGTGTTCTCTGTCGTTTGTTTCTGAAACCTTGCCCCCAGTTTTCTCAACAGAGCCCTTCTTAAAATCTTCTCCATTGCCCAGTTAGAGCTTGACGTCTGTCTCCCGACAGGACTCTGGTGTTTCATGAGAAGACCTTGCGTCAGGCTGTGCAGTCTGTGTGCTTAGGACCCCAGGGCATCCAAAGGGAAGTTTGCTGTAAGTTATGCTCGGGGTGAATGAGAGCCAAGTGGGGTGTGCGGGGGGTGGGAGTGGGGGAACTAGGTGAAGGAAGGGGCTGCGGTGAGAGGGCTGGAGGTGGGCAGGGGAAGAGCGAACCTGGGTTTGCTCCTGTCTTCACTACCTACTGGAAATGTGGACCCGGGAAAGCACCGTGCTGAGGACTTTCAGGCAAACCCTTCAGGAACCAGAGGAGCCTGTCTTCTGTCCTCCGTGCCCAGCAGGTGTGATGCTGTGTGTGGTGCACGCAGGTAGCATGCCTGGGAGCACACACTGGGAGTGGAAGTAATCATACCTTTTGCCAGAGTTGTCTCTAATGCTAGGTTGTAGCACATGGAATGGCCATTTTTGTGGATTAAAACTGGTTGAATGTTGGCAATTTCATATGATTTGACCCACAGCTACAGTGAATGTAATTCTTAACATTCACCACAACCTTATGAGGAAAATACTATTATTGTCCCTGTTTTCCAGGTGGGGAAACTGAGGCTTAGAGAGATTCAGGCCTGTGTCAATAGAGATGGTAAATGACAGAGCTGGGACAACATCAAACCATTAACCGTATGACCAAGATGGGGTCACTTTTCTCCTCTGGGCCTCGGTTTCATCCTCTTTAGTAGGAAGAGACTGGAGTGGTACCCTCTAAATTCCCTCCCGCCCTAGAAACCTGTGGCTCCGTGAGGCTGGGCAGAGAAAGCAGGCTTCCTTCATCCTGTGTCACTCACTGTAAGGACCAGAAGAGGGAGGTGACATCAACAACTCGGGAGGCACCAAAGACTTCTCCACAGATCCGTGGACCCCACTGCCCTCCCCGAATGGCTGCGTACAGACCCCAGGGCCCCAGCAAAGGGACAAAGGAGTCCATCGGAAGCACCTTTTGCTGGCATCCTCTCTCAGCGGCTGCCCGGAGCCCGGCCCTTGGCACTGCTGGTCCAGCACGGATGACACAGACCTGGCCAGCTGGAAGAGCTGCTCAGGGCCATGCCCGCCCTGCAGAGTGGCGGTGACATTGTCCCACACTGCGGCCTGAAATGCCGCATCCTCCACACGGGTGCCTCCACGTGCGGCCTAACGGGAGACCAGAGACATGCTCAGAGCAGGAGGGTCTCAGCCCATCGGTTCTTGTTCCAGAACCTGGAGCCTGAAGTTCCTGGCCTGCACGTGGTGAAGCAGAGCAGGGCTGGACGGCTTGGCGCCTGGCATGGGGGCTCTTCCGAGGCTGGAGGGCAGGGGACCCACTTGTGCCAGCAGCCAACGGCCACCAAAAGCAAGTCTCAGGCAGGTCATTACTTCTCCCCTCACTGCCCTCCTCATCGTGCTCTCAGGCCCTTCCACTCCAGCACGCTTCTGACCCTTGAAATTCACTTGAGATTTTATCCAGCCTCTGCCTTATAGACCTGTTGGCTGATCTGGGTCCTCCTTCTTCTGGACTCTGAAGGCACTTGGGCTAACTCACCTCTGGATCCTTCTGCCCCCATCTCCCTCAGGTCCCCCACCCCAAGTCCCCCAGGCCCTTCCCCTATACTGGCCACTAGTCATAAGATCTACAAAGATAGAGACCACATCTGTTTTGTCCACGGCTATATCCCCAGGACCGGGCACATAGTAGGTGCTCTGTAAATACACGTTGAAGGAATGAATGAATCAACCACTCATCTGGTCATACCCTCGGCTTCCTTCAACCCGGCCACCCTTTTGTTGAGGTTTAGACAAGTCAAGAAGTTGTCTTAGTAGAGAAACAGTGGCTGCCACCCACCTTAACTGCTGCCTGGGTCTGCTGTCTATCACCCACGTGATTGCAGACAGAAATGACCACTGTCAGCATGAAGTCATTGTTTTCTGCTCCAAGTGGCAGGTAAACTGATGGGAGGGCAGGTTCAGGGCCACAGTGCAGACAGGAACCTGGCAAATGGACATTGGACAATTAGGGGGGCATCTCCAGGCCCCAGGGACACTGTAAACCCACCAAGGTAGAGCCTGATGACAAGGACGCAAAAGCCACAGCTCGTGAAGTCACAGCAGGCACTCGTGGACTCCATACTTCCCGGGAAATGATGGCTATTTATGCCAATCCAGTGTCGTCTCTAAGTAATCGCGTGCTGCTGTGACTTTGGAATAATTTTACTAAAATCCATGAAAGTTTTCAGCAAAAGAATCCCCCATTTACAAGCTTTTTAGAAAAATTCAAGGTGGTAAACCAAATTACGAAAAGGAGAAAGAGGAGGAGGAGGAAAAGAAGATCTTAACAATTGGTTCAAGACGTATCCAAACTCCCTCAAATGTCACTTCCTGTACAAAGGCCTTCCCAGGCCGCTCTATCTAAAGCAGCACCCCTGTCCTGTGTCTTTGTTTACCAGCTATCTCTACCACTAATTATAAATACAGTGCGGTCAGAGACTTCCTCTCTTTTGTTCACTGCTGTATATCTAGGACCTAGAACGGAGCCTGACGTTCAATACGTCTGCTGTAAGAGTGAATGAATGAATGAATATCCTTCGTATCCTTAAAGGGGACCCACCTATCATTGGAATCACTTCACTGTAGTGTGCAGACAATCACGACGTTCTTGAATTGTAATTGAAAACTCATTTTTATATGGTCACACTTCCCTGCCCCTTACTGGAGCAGCTAGCCTGGCATCTCCATTTAGGGGGACACAGGTTTGAAATGAAATCTGCTTACCTTCCTTGAATTGGTCCCTTCCAGGCTCAGACCCAGTCGTGGCCCTCTGAACAGCCCTGCATTCCATGTCCATCTGACGGGCACCCCATGAAAACCACAATCCCTTGGGTCTGAGAATGGGGCCCCTCCACCTTCACCTAGTCAATGGGTTCAGTTTATGTCCTTGTGGTGTTTAATGCCGGACCCTGGGGAGCACCCCTGCAACACTCCTGGAGCCTAGGTTTGCAGGAAGGTCCCAATCTGACTGGCACATCTTCAGAGCTCTTGTGAGGGTCACAGAATGCCAAAGGCCATTGGGAGGAGACAAGGACTCAAACGGGCCCGCCAAGGACCAACCACCCCCAAATCGGAAGAGCAGAGGCAATGTGGGCGCTCACCCCGTCTCTCCTGCTGATGCCCTGCTGCTGTCTTGGGTGTGGGTTGTGGTGACAGGACACTGGCTGGGGCACTGAAGTGGGGCGGCATCAGCATGCTCCGTCCTCTCCTGTAAACCTGTGCAAACAGGTCTCGTCTCAGCTCAGCATGCTCTGTGACATCGCCCATTCCCAGCTACCTCCCGCAAAGTGGGGTCAGTAGCATTGTGGACGGTTCTGTGAACCAGGCCACCCCTGTCCCGAGTGGCTCCAGGGGTCGGGGCTACTCCGAGTGTGCACTGAGGAGTGGTATCCTGGTAGCAACCCCACGTGGTCACACTTCTGCATATCCTCCTCCATTTAGCCCGTTCCACGTCCCTCATGCCACGATAGAGGTTGTTTTGGCCTCCACAGTTGTGGAGAAGATAGGGAGTTACTGCGTCTCACCTCGCTGAGATGTGTGGCAGGGTCTGTGTGCCTGGGGGCGGGGCTTCAGGGTCATCCTGCAAACCTCTCTCACACATGGAACATATTCTTTGCAGCTCCCAGAGAGAGACAGGCACCTATTCTTGGAGAGGATGAGCCCAGGAGCTGAGGGGAGAGCTAGTCCCAAGCCGGTACCTGACTCCAGGCAGAAGCAGTACTCCAGGAGCCCCAGGGCGGCGGAAGCGTTGCAGAAGATGGCAAAGCTCATCAGAACAGTGCCCTCCTCTGGGGCAGTGGTACAGGTGGGCAGTGGGAGCTGATCACGTAGGCGTGCCGGGTCACTGCTGGGGAGAGGAGACGGAGGGTGCTTAGGGGGTTGTGTGAGGCGCACAAACTCCGCCATGGTTCACGATCTCCTGGGAGCTTGTTCAACATGCAGGCTCCCAGGCCCCTCTCCAGGGCCTCAGACCTCTCTGTAGATTCTGGGGTGGGGCCCAGAAATCTGCATATCTAACAACTCCCACACCCACCCCCTCACCCCCTTGGTGCAGGGCATTCCAGGGTCTCTGAGAAACTGGGCAGAGATAGAATCCCAGTCCTGCCATTTACTATCCATGTGACCTTGGCTTTCACCTTTTTAAGAATCAGTTTCTCATCTGTAAAATGGGGCTAATAATATTAGCTTCCTCCCAGAGCTTTAGTGAGGAGGGAGTATATCGGGAAACAAGACTTGCTCAAGAGACCGAGTTAGGACGGGCCACAGCCAGGATCTGGAAACACTCAGAACTCCCCCCAAACCATGGGCACCATGAAGAGCCCCCAGCTAAGCTGCGCCAATACCCCACACCACCTGTTATAATCACCTGGTTTTTCAAAAGGAGTGCACACCTGGAAGAGCTGGGCATAGAGAATTTTAATCAGTTAAAATGAATTCCCTGGCCTACACTTAATTCAGAAGGTTTGGGGTGAACCCAGGAGTGTGCCTTTTAAACTAGTACCCCAGGTTATCCTGGGCAGGTGGTCTATGGGCCACTTTGAGAAATACTGAATCAAAGGAATGCATCTGAAAAAGAATAATCACCCCATTATTTATCTTTTTGAGAGTCTACTTTTCCTGCTGCTCTGGGCTTGTTTTAAGTGAGAAGCACTGAATCACCTGGCAGGACGTGCAGGCTGCACACCCCACTGCTTTTACCACTGGTGGTGTGTCATCCACCCTGCATCACAGAGTTCAGAGACGGGTGTTTCTGTTCTGCCGTTTGCATGAGAGGAAATTGAGGCACAGAGACCTTGAATCCGATGCCTGAAGTCTTCCAGTTAGAACGTGGCGGTGGTGGGATTCACACCAGAGCCTGTGTATGGCCCCCGGCCTGCACTGATGTCCCCTGTTTCAGCGCTCCTGGGTTTGTCTTGCTCACTGTCAGCAAGAGACAGGATCTGTGACATGAGACTGAAGGAGGCCTTCCCACCTCTGACTCTGGTTCCGGTGGCCTGGCTGCTGGTCCTCAGGAAGGAGCTGTTCAGCAGCAGGGTGGAGGTGTCGCTCTGAAGGAGGATTAAAGAACGCGGCCAGAGTCCTCGGAGTCTGCAGGCCGCTGGGAGGGGCTCGGCCTGAAAGAGAGCACAGCCCAGGGCCCCTGAGGCTGCAGCCAGCCTGCAGGACTCAGCAGGGCAGTGGCTTCTGACCCTGGGAGGCCTTTCGGATTTGTCTCCAATGGAGGGACGGCAGTATCACCTGCTTTCCTGAGGTCAGCCCAAATAGCTCATCTCCAGCCGCGTTAGAGTGTTTGTCCTTGGCCAGGTTCCCTGGAAGCAGAGTCTGAGACAAGGATTTGTGTGCAGGGCACTTATGAGGGAGGGCTCTCAGGCAAAACCAGGAGGGCAGGGAGGGAAGCCGAATGGGGTGGAGAATGAAACAAGGCAAAGAAGTGGTTTCGGGAGGCATCCAGCTTCATTCAGCCTGATCCCATGGGGAGCTCTGGAGCATAAGCTGCACCACAGAAATTGTCTCACTCAGAGCCCGGGGGGCTAGGCCGTTAGAGCCCACAGTTGTTGGCCAGCAGCCGCCCCATCGCAGCTGGGGGATGCCTGCATCAGCCTGGTAAGGATGGGCTGGGCACCCACAGCATCTCCTGCGATGTTTCCCTGTTGTTTCTGCTCCGCTGCATCCGTTCTGTCTTCTGACCAATGCTCCCCAGCCCCCGACTCCTACTCCTCGGGCTCTGAGTGCAGTTGACCAACCCCCAGCTCAGTCCTGGCATGTGACTCAGGTCTGGTCAATCAAAGTGGGAAGACGTTTCTGTTTTTGAGCGGCTGCCAGTGTCCTCGCCTTCTCCAGCAGGGTGTCATCTAAATACCAGCTGAACACGGCTGCTGCAGACTTGTCCCCCACGGTGACCTTGAGCATAACGCCCCTGCTGGCATTCACTGGCCTGCAGTTCTCCTCACAGCTGAAAGGGAGACAGAGAATGGAGCAGGGATGCTCCCTCAGACGTTGTGGCCGCCCGCCTGGTCTTTTGTCCAGTTCTTCTCAAGTCCTTTGAGAAGGTAGGAAATGGCTTTGTCAAGTGAAAGATGGAATAAAAACAACTTCTGCCCCAACCAAAACCAGGTAACGAAGATGAAGCGATTCGTTCCTGCCTGAATTCCCATTTCATTCACTGCACAGGAGAATGACACGGAAAGTGCGTGAGGCTGAGAGAGGACCCTAGACTCCAATCCCGCCCCTGCCACTTGTGAATGACCGCTTTGCACAAGTCACTTAACCTCTCTGAGCCTCAGTTTCCTCACCTGTAAAGTGAGGGGATAAGAGCAGTCAATTTCCATGATTCTTTCTAGTGCTAATAATGATCAGTGAATCCTGTGATTTTACAGCACACATGCCACATCCCATTGTTATTAGCTTAGCCAGTGCTGACCACAACCCTATGAGAATCCCCATATCACAGACGAGCAAACTGAGCTCAGAAAGTTGTGTGATTAGTCCCAGTGACACAACTCCTGAGTGGAGGATGGAACATGGGCCCACACGTCTGGACCCGAGTCCTGGGCCTTCTGTGTAATGTCATATTCCCTCACATGAGCCAGTGAGAGATCACTGACTCCTGCTGTGTCTAACCCATCCCCAGTCCTTTTAGTATGAGCTTTAAAATAGCTCTCGAATCTCCCCACTTCTGTTTTCACGTCTACCCTAGTGCAAGTGAGCCAGACATTCTCCATTTGCCCCTGCAGCCCACTTGCCATCAACTCTGTGGCTCTGTGCGCCAGGGACTGATCTCCATAGACTGCATCACCGAGTCTCCACACCTGCCAATGGGCCCAGCCAATGGGGAGCATTGAGAGGAGAGAGGTTGGGATAGTTATTCACCACTTTCCCTGTTCCTTACCAAATGGACTGCAGTTGGCAGAGGCTGTGTTCCTCTGGCCAAGGCCACAGCTCGTGCCGGGGGCACTTCTCCCGCAGCTGCAGCTCCCAAGGGGGTTCCAGAGATGCCATCCCCTTCTCTTACCCCTGCAGGCCTAAGAGGGACAATGGCTTCCTCCTGTTGTAGTCCTGCATTGTCATCCCTGGTTGATCCCCTTATCCCTGCCCTTGTCTGTAAATAGACCCTTTATCCAACTCCCCTCCGTTCCCAATTTCAGTGAGCCATCTGCTTCCTTCAGGGACCCAGCTGATGGCCGCGCTACCTTGAACTCTCACCTTGATTCCTGCAAGTGCCTAAGCAACCTCCCTGAGTCCTCTGTCGCCGCCTCCCGACCCCACCCCAGCCACTTCTCCACCCTGCTACCAGAGCGTTTGGAAGCAAAACGTGATCATGTTCCCAGCCTGCTTAAAAGTCTTGGGTGGCTTTCCAGAACTCTTAGGATAAAGGCCGAAATCATGTGTCTGACATACCCTCAAGGCCCTGCCGGAGCCAGGCCTTGCCTGCTCTTCCTCCATGCTCCAGCCACACCAGCCTCTTTCACTTCCGGATTATTGTATGCTCCTTCCCTTTACTGTCTGTCCTGTCTCCCGCCCTCCCTTTTCCTGGCCAAGTTAATTCCTCTTCTGTCTTCACATCTCTGCTGAGGGCAGCCTTCCCTGACCCCAAGTCGGGGAAATTGTCATAGAGGCGTGCTCTCTCCTTCCATTCATTTGTGTGAACCACTGCTGATCACCAAGTAACCCCAGTGAGAACTGAGACTGGGTCTGGTTTTACCCACCACTGTACGTCCTACCCATTAGTCAGTGTAGCCAGAGCTGGCACTCAGTACATGTTGGCCAAATGGCAGCCCTGCAGGAATTTGCTCTGGTGCTCCCACCTGACTCGCGGCCTGAGTTCCAGGGGGTCAGACACACAGAGGCACTACTTCTCCAGGTTCTCCAGCTCCCAGCCTCTCCAGACTGCCAGGCGCAGGGTAACAGCAGAGTCAGGCGTCGGCAGGCGGGACGGTGGCACTACCAACTCCCTCTGGTCTGTGCGGCGCAGCTGCCTCTCAACACAGTCGCTCCACTGAGCCCAGCAGTGCCCTGAGAGAGAGAGGTAGGCCAACACTGTGATCCACCCAGGCACCTTGAACTTGACACATGTGGCTACCTTCTGGTTTGGGGTTTTTAGAAGAAATGGGTCATGGATAAGAAAATTGGTTCCAAATAGAGATTTTTCTTTTTTAGTTTCAGGTTGAAGGAATGGTGCCACGGAAGAATGTTTCTGGGGAAATGACCCCCGCTTCACCCAGACTCTGAGCAAACCTGCAGGATGTGTTGGCTTGTTTTGCATCAGTGACTTGCACTGGTGAGGAGGCCAGCACAGAGCAGGAGAGGCGCCCAGAGGATATACAGCCCCGCCTGGGAGAAGGCACCTTCTTGTCCCTGGTGCAAGTGATTGTCCACAGCTGTTTGTCTCTGTGTGGTACATTGGGGACCTGGGAGGCTGTATCTCTGTCTGGGACGCTGCATGTCATCTCGTGCTTTGTACCAACTCAGTAAGTCTCTGTGTCCTTTGCTCTTCAACTCTGTTGATTAATGTGTATCCACTACCCCAACTACCCCTGATGTGTAGTCATTCACAGCATATGCCTGGGGTCAGGTCATCAGCTCAATCACCTAAAGCCTATATTTGTATCCTCTATTAATTCAGATAACAAGAACTAACATGCTGAAGGATGTCCTGAGCACTTACCAATTAATATCAAAAGACTTCAAATGTTACATGACTTTTGACCCAGTTATTCCATTTCTGGGAACTTGTTTATGAAAGTAACCACAGCCGCAAGTAAAGATTGAACTGTAAGGATGTTCATTACAGCGTTGTTTATAAGGGCAAATAATTTGAAACAACCTCAAAGCCCAAAAAGAGGGCACTGGTAAATAAATGATCATGTAGCAACTTGACAGTCTATTATGCAGTTATTATGAAAATCAAGATGGAGAAGAAGATACCAAGACATGAAAATATGTGGGATACATTGTTCAATGAAAAAAAAGGGTAACAAAAGCAATATGTACAGTATGAATGGCATTCATTTTATTTCTTGAAGAGTGTGTGGATAGCTAGGATATATCCGTATAAAAAGCAGAACAACCATTTCTTAAAAATAAGTACCAGTGCTACCATCTTGGTTTGTCAGAAAAGGCCTCATCACTTCCTCCTTCTAAACTATCTTCTCAGTGGCATACCAAGAGCGTGGAGGTTAAAAGAGGGGTTCAGTCCAAGAGGGGAGGAGTATTTTACCACTAATGTTGTTTGTGGTGACAATAAAAAGCAGGCTGGGTTTTAGGGTTTAACTGTTGTTCCTAAATTCTCTACAGATAGTGCCTCTCCTGGTTGCCTGCCTTCAGGGCCACCCGCATCGTGGTTTGCCACTGCTTCCACCCACCTCCCATTTCTATGGAATTCACAATCTCTGGCACATACAAGGCACACAAAAGGTCAAGCGTGAGTAATCCTGGTGTGAAGGTTAAGAAAAAGAGCAGCAAAAGCTGACCGCTGTCCATCACTCCATGGTGAGATAGGACGGTTCAGAGTTCTAAGGTCACCTACCACATGCCCACTGGAAGCGAAAGTCCTTGTTACTATCTGGCCAGCCCAGAGTCACTGTCGTGAAAGGATCCAAGTACTGACCGGGTTCCACGCACAGCTCCACATCCCCTCTATCTCTCTGCAGAAAAAGCAGCTGGCTGGTGAGACGCCCTCCACAGCCGGCACCCCACCTTGCGCCCCAGAGCAGCCTGTGCCAGGGGTGGCCACAGTGTGAGGCATGGAGTGGAGACAGACCTGTCTGATCCCCCTAGCCTGCAGGGGATGGATCACTGGGTAAGTGACTAGGACGAGTGCGGGCTGGGTGCCAAGGGTTCATCACGCGTTCAGCTGCATTAACAGAGCCTGCTCTGGGCCAGGCCCAGTGCTTGAGGCCTGGAGATAGAGGAATAGAGACTCAGCCCCCGCCCTTATACCTAGTCTGACAGACAAGGAACCCAACAATTAAAATGCAGAGTGCTAACTGCTGTAATAGAGAGGGCTCAGGGGATCGTGATAATAGATGAGGGAGGAAGTAGGTTGAGAACATCTGTTCCCCCTAAGGGTTTGACAGTGTCTGACTCCTGGGGCTGCTGTGGATCAGATGAGAAAAACGAGTGACGCGCTTCCTCTTGTGTGTGGAGCAGAGGACAGCGCGGAACTATTACCTCTACACAGCAGACAGCTGGTGTCAGGGCAACCTTCCCAGAGGACAGGACCCCAGGGCTATGGAGCTGGGGAAGGAGGAGGAGTGAGGGCGAGCTGGGGCAACGATGGAGAGCACATGGATTCAAGGAAAGGGGTTGACAGGCATGTGGTGTGTTCCAGGATCAGTTCTGGTTAGACCTGTTAAACAGCTCAGGCCCAGAGGGCTTGTCCTGGGAATAACAGGAGGCTGTGGCAGAACTCGGTCCCCAGGGGTCTCTCTGGTTTGAGAATAAAACTCAACCCCCTTGCCTTGGCACCTGAGACCCCATGTGATTTGGCCTCTGTCCGTCTCTATAATCTCCTACATCCTCCCCGCCTCCAACAACAGGCCTCAGGGCCTTCTCATCTACATACCTAGACAGCTCTTGTTCTGCTTCCAGGATGGCTGACTGTCCTATCTTCAGGTCCCCACTTAAATGTTACCTCTCAAGAGCCCGTGTCTAATCACATTTGCTAGTCCACCCTCTGTTAGTTGCTGTCACTGCACTGTATTGGTTCTAATTAGACGCATCACAGTTCTTAATTATATGCTAACTTGTGAGTTAGTCTCACCCACTAAGCTTCCTGAAGGCAGGGACCCCATCTGTTTATTCACCATTGTTTCCCCAGCCCCTAATACCAATCCTCGAACATTGTAGAGGCACAATAAATCTTGTTATTGAATAAATGCATGCATGAGCAATGTCAACAGCAAGGAGTCAAAGACTTAGTCTTGCTATAAATACCAAAAGACCTGGGCCTTTTTTCTCATATAAGCATTAAAAGCCATGAATTTCCATCCGAGCACTGCCTTAGCTGTATCCCATAAACTTGGATAGGTTGTATTGTCATTATCACTTAAAATATTTTAAAATATCCTTGTGATTTTTTCGTTTGACCCATTGATCTTTTTTTTAAGAAGTGTGCTGTTTAATTTCCAAGATGTCTGAGAGATATCTACGTATCCTAGATAACTTATTATTGATTTATAACATGCTGCTGTTGTGGTTAGAGGACGTGCTTCATTTGATTTCAATCCCTCTGGGTTTCTTTTTAAACAGAAGAAGCCTCAGTGATTGCTAGTGCTCTGCTGTTAGCACCAAAAAGCCCAAATTCAAAACTAAAACAGAGTACTTAGACATCTTTTTCTTGTGAGGTTAAGTGTTTTAAAAAAAATACTCACATTCTTTTCCTGAGCCTTTGTTCCAGGTGGTTCTTGGAGACTGAAAGGAGCTATGAACACAGTGGGGATGGGTGTCAGACGTTGGTGGTGTTTATAAGGTCGCCAAAGGGCAGAGTCAGAGGGTACACTGAGGATGCCCTGGGAGTATCTGCCTGTCTTTGGAAATGGTTTAGGGACACGCAGAGAATATTCAGGTTGTAGGAAATGGGTCAAAAGCAAAACCGTCATGTTCACAGCTGGGCTATAGACACCTCTTTGGCAGGTAAGAAAGAGGCGGACAGCTGCCAGTGGCAGGTAGAACGAGATTAAGGTCAGACTTGCAGCTGTTCGCCATTAATGTTTACCTGCCAGTTGAAGGGTGAGGGTGCGGAGCCCTCATCTCATATGCTATTTTCTGTGGTGCAAATGTTCCCATACAGGCAGATTTCAGGATACCAAGGTGACCTCACTGAATGCATAGTGGGAGAGATGGGCACAACCAGCTCTGGCAGGCTAGTAGGAGCTGGACTCAGCACGCCATGGTGTGTTTCTGGATCCATTCATTGGTGTCTTAATGGCTGTGCAAACCTCGGCAGGTTAGTTACTCTTTCTGAGTCTTAGGTGCCTCATCCGTAAAGAAGGCTGAAGGCAGCCCTTATTTCTCAAAGCTCCAGGACTGAATGCTGTGCTGTATATATTAGTGCTTTGTCATCTATTCATCTGTAAAGAATATGAGTGTGTCAAGTTAAAAAAAATGGAAAAGGTACTCTCAGCTGATATGCTCTGAAGATATTGAAATGTGAGTTTGATTAATAGCTAATTAAAGTGTAGTGATTAAGTTAAGCACTTAGGGTTGGTCATTCCATGTGATTGACTAGGCCCTGGTGACTTGGATGTTTTAAGATCAGGGTATTACTGATCTTTAAAGAATTCCCTGTCAGTGAATTCTTATTCTCACGATGATAAGTTTGAAGGTCTGTAAAATCATACAAAACAAAGCTAAAATGCCAGACACAGAGATCTTTCTTAACCGTAAGAAGGAAGATGGTCCAATAACCCTGAATGAAGAAATCCAGAGAAATTGTTGCTACCCTGATCCTGCCATGAATTAGCTGAGTGACTTTTGCAAAGTCAATTAACCTCCCTGGACCTCAAATTCCATACGTGGAAACTCCGAGGAGGACTGTGGACGGTAAGTAGAACGGACATCTCATATTTTCTTCCCCCGTCCAGGCATCCCCGCCCCCTTCTTTTGATAATGGCACTTACAGATGATATTTTCCCTGGGGAACCATCCCTCCCCACCCTCAGTCCTTTGGGTGAATCTGATCCTACGTCGTGTTCCGGAGTGGACGTGTGATCCTGGTCTGTCCTGAGTACCACTCCCCTCTGGTCTCAGCAACAGGTCTAGGAGGGACCATGAACCAAGCTTAGACAAGTGAGAGGCAGCCTCAGGACTTGTTCTGAAAATATCAACACAGAGATGCTCTTTCTCCTCTGGGGTTAAGGACTGAAGCCTGCAGCCATCTTGCTACTACTTGGGAAGAGGGAGTCAGACTGAAGCCAACATAGAACAAAGAGATGGAGAGAGGCAGATTTCCGAAGACATTGAGTGGCTGGATCCTGCTGTGCCTAAACCCTGGACTTTTATTTTCTGAGTTGATAAAATTTCCTTTGGCTTGAGCCATTTTGAACTGCTTTTCTTTTTCTTGCTACTCAAAAGTCCGGGCAAACACAGTCAAGGTGAGTTTTAAGACAGTGACATCTACTATTGGCTGCCTACCAACAGCCAATACCCTGCTCTTCCTCTTGGCTGTCAGAATCCATCTTCTCCCACAGAGCCTAAAAATGCTGGATTCCCAGCATCCCTTACAGCTGGGCACCTGACCCAACTTTGGCCAATGGTACCTAAAGGGAAGATTGCTGGGGACTAGTGGGAAAGATTTTTTTCCCTAATATAAAGAGATGCACAGGGGGACATGGGTTTCTGCTGCTGCTGGATAATGCTGGGTTGACAGGTGATGTCTGGAACTGCGGCAGCCATCTTGATTGCATGAGACACAAGCCTAAGGACCAAGCGAAAGCTCTGAGGATGGCAGAGCAGAATGACAGACTGAGCCTGGGTCCTCACTGGAGCTCAGTCTGTCTCACTGAGCCACTGAACCAACCTTGGAACTAACTTCTTAGTTATGTAAGATAATAAGACTTGAACTTAAAGCCACTTATGTTGGGCTTTCTATTATTTGAAGCCTAAAGCAGTGTAACTAATACAAATTCGAATGTTTTAGAATTCTGTATCAATGGTTGGATGTTCTGTTGCTTACATTATTGCCTATTTAGAGTAACCAGAGAATTCTTAATATCTGTGAAACAAAATAAGCATTCAAAGCTCTGTTTTGAGGGCCCCCTCACTAGATTCCCGAGGAAGTGCAATGCCCTAAACTCCTGGTCACAAGTTTTATACCCCCTTGCAGAAAATTCTTACCTGTGACAGTGATGCTTCCAATTTTCAAACTCAAGTTTGAGAAGGCGTTCCTCACCAGCACAGTGACCAGAAAGGTGCCTGCAATGCAAAGGGTGGAGAATTATGGGCATTGTAATAAATTGTTTAACTTGCTCTGAGACAGTTCTCCCAGCCTGTGCTTCTCCAGTCCTCTGATGGCAGTATCTGACTCTTTCATCATCAAAGAATTTAATGTATCCCTGATGTATGCCAGGCATGGTGCAAGGCTCTGGGGACACAGAGATGAATGAAACATGGTCCTTGTCCTCAAGGCCTTATGGTCTAGTAGACATGTGGGACACTCCAGTGTGGGAATCGGCATGGAAGGCAGTGTGGGCATGGGGTTGGGGGCCTGCTTCTACCTTGGGGGAGAAAGAAATGGTTAATGAGGTGGGGCAGGGGCTAGAGCTAAAGTTCAAAGGATGAGCAGGTGCTCATTTGCCAGATGAGAGAGGAGATTCCAGCAGAAGGAGGCCCATGATACGGTTTTAAAAGGGTCGAGAGAGTGGGGAGGGGAGAGGAGGATTTGTCAGAAGACTTGGAGAGAGCTGCTGCTACATGAGTATCCCCGCCCCCCTGCCTCCCTCACGGGGAAGAGGTGGTGGGTGCTACCTTCTTCTCTTCTCAAGCCTGGAGAGAAGGTCTTCAGAGAGGGCCCTTGGTGAGCTGGGTATGTGTTCTTTGAGGCTGGGAACCCCCATGGACAGGTTCCTTACTCATGCTCTTGGAATGATCTATGACGGGTGGAGGAGAGGGAAGGGGAGAGAGGAAAGGCAGCATTTCTGCATTTGGGAAATGACTACAGTCGGCTGGAAGCAGCCGAGGACTGGGTGAGAATTTTCTAAGGACCCGATGTTAGCCTTGGCGGGGGGGGGGGGAGGCGGTGGAGAGGGTAGAGAGAACGAGGAGAACAGAGAAAGGGACCCTGTTGGTGACAGGAGAGCCCTGGACTGAGTGAATTCTTATTCTCAGTAGTTGTAGTTGTCTGACATCTGTAGTTGTCAGTTGTCTATGAGCCTCAAGAGCCCATAGAAGCTCCTACGAGAGGCGGCTGCAAACATCTGCTGGGCGGTGAGAGCAAGGCCAGCGCCACCAAGTGAGCACCTTCCTGTCGTACCTGGTTCCCTTTCCTTCCCCCCTCACTCCCTTCATCCCTGGAGGTATCCAGTCTGTTGTTCTCATGGGGAGGAGAAGACTGCTTATCATCCAAGAGACAGCCCCAAAGTCACAGGGTGTATGGAGATTTTATCTCTTATCTCCTACCAAGTAGCTTTTATAGGAGACAAAAATTAATTTGCATTTGAATTACAGCCTCTTTATTATATTTGCCATTGTCGTTCCATTTCATTTCCAGATTCTTCCTGTTCCAAACTGTACCTTTGGTACCTGGCAAAATTGCGATGTTTCTCTTCTTGACTCTGTCGTTCTTTCTGCCATCTCTTTTGCCACATCCCTTGCTGAGGGCATGGTAGCCCATACCTGCACATCATTACCCCCGTTCTCACACACCTCTGAGGTCCAGGGTAGCGGACCTGGGTGGGCTGGAGACTCTGCCACCTTCATCACTTTCCTGCCTGCTGACCTCACCACACTGCCCTCAGAGACACTCTGTTCTTTCCAGATTAAATGCACGTCAGCTGTGGCCTCCTGCCCTGGCTGGTGCCAGCCGGTCTGCTGCCCTATCTCTATTCCAGGCAGCCTCCTGATAGCTCCTCTCTTGTTCCTCTCTCTCCCACCCTTTAGTTTTTACCCATCTCTCCCCCGCAGGGCATGGACTGCAGTTTCCCAAAACACATTCTCCTCTAGAAATGATGGAAGAAACCAAGTACTCCCGCTCTCTTCCAGTGATTCTCGGTGGGGGTGATTTTTCTCCCCAGGGCACAGTTGGCAATGTCTGGAGACATCTGTAGTTGTCATGACTTGGGGGCTGGGGCTACTGGCACCCAGTGGGTCGAGGCCAGGGATGCTGCTAAACATCCTACAGTGGACAGGACGGTCCCCGCAACAAAGAATTATCTGGTCCCAAATGTCAGAAGTGCCAAAGTTGAGAATCCCTGTGACTATAAGTTCTATAACTGCAAGTAATATCTGTCTCTTCCTTATTTTGTGACCCAGGCTGGATGCTGTGAACCATCTTTTTGTCTGGGACACACCGAAAAACTGGCTGGCAGAACCCTGGACACCAAGTCAGGAAGGGAAGAGGAGGGAGGTTTGGAAGGGGAGACACAAACTCCAAGTACCTTCAAGAGGAACTGCCACGTGGTAAGTCCCAAATGGCCCCCCAAGGCTCTCTTTCTCATGGGAGAAGGTTGCACTGAGTCCTGCCACCTCAAAGTTCAGCCTCTCCGGGATACCGTGAGCCGCCGAGACATTGACCAGTAGGTCCTGTCCAAGCTCCAAGTTGCCAGAGCCCAGGAGGCCTGCAGGCCTGACAGGGGCTCCACGAAGTGGATGGTGATGTTTCTGAAGGGGGCAGAGGTGGTGGTGTTGCTGGTGGCACAGATCTCCAAGTGGTGCATCCCTGGGCCCACCCATTGCTGGACTGCTCCATCCAGGGTCACACTGTAGGGGAGCGGGCCCCTCTGCGTGGTGAACTCAGCCAGGGTTGTGTTACCTGACAGCACAGTGTAAGTCACCCCTGTTCCTAGGTGGAGTAAGACACATTTAAGAATGTCAGTCATGCAGTAGATTATACTGAGGTAGTTCAGACTCCAGTTGTAAAGTCAGATTCCACATATAGACATAGATATGGATATAAAGACATATGTAAGGATATATCCTCCCCACCCAAATATTAAAACGGATTATCTCTGAGTATTGGGTTCATGAGTGATTTTTCTTTCAGGACCCTCTCTGCTCACCTGCATATTCTAATTATTTTATTTATTTTATTTTATTTATTTGGCTGCGCCGGGTCTTAATTGCAGCACACAGGATCTTCGTTGCCACGTGTGGGTTCTTAGTTGCAGCATGCAGGATCTAGTTCCCTGATGAGGGATCAAACCCGGGCCCCCTGCATTGGGAGCGCGGAGTCTTAACCACTGGACACCAGGGGAGTCCCTCTAATTATTTATACTATGCACGTGTTACCGTAAACTTAAAAGTTCGTAGTAAAAACCTCAGAACATTTTGTTGATAGAGATATCCTTGTGGCGAGGAAGGCTCAAAAGGTAGCATCTCTTAAGGGTGCGGCTGGTTTTTATGCATGAGAATTAGCCTCCAGTCTTGTCTTAAGTCGAAGCAGTGAAGCCCTTTCCATCTCCATGACTAACTGCCTGAAACCCTGCCCAACGAGAGAACTCAGCCTGTTCACATTAAGGTGGGGCTCCCTTACAGACTGGGGCTGGTTATCCTAACTGGATGCTAAATATTGTGGTTGACTCTTAAAAAATATGATTTAAACCACTAAATTAAGATTCTTTGCAATAGAAACCAAGCTAGTATATTTCTTGTTTGAGTGATGCTACTGTTGCTGCTGATGGTGTTGACGTAAGCCCTCTGAGAACAGGAACCCTGACTTTCATGTTTATTGCTGCCTCCCCCCCATACCTGACAAAGAGTAATCACTCAATTATATTTGTAGAATGAAAAAAGATTATCTTAAGTTTTTCCAGGTGCACCTAGCAAGCTATCTTCAGCCAACAAGCACACCAGAACAGAAAGGAGCCCCAAGCACTGTGTTTAAAGTCCCGTTATAGATCCATGAAGTTACTGCTCTGAGTGAGGCTCTGGGTGGTATGAGGTTGGACTGAGACATGTCCTCACCTCCACAGCTCTGTGCCACTCAGTTTATATCAACAGGTCTCTGTCCAGATCTCAGACTGGACCTGTGCCTTGAGGAAAGATACTGCCTTCGGTGAGGATGGGAGAGTCTATTGACAGAAGGGGTGATATTCAAAATATTTAACAACTGAAACTGCATGGGCACCAGCTAAGTAGAATGATGTTCTGATGAATCAGAATGGACACTGTGACCAATCCGAATGGATGCTGTGACCAATTAGAATGGACGTTGTGACCAATGAGAAATATTGCTATGACCAATCAGAATAGATGCCATGACAAATCAGAATGGATACATTGACTGATCAAAATGGACATGATGGCCAATCAGAATGGCCTCTGTGACCAATCAGAAGAGAAACTGTGAGCAATCAGCATGGACACCAGCCATAACAGCTGCTGTAGTTGATTATCAGCCCTAACTGGGGGCAATGTGATTGTGTCAAGCTGGTCGATGCTGGCTGTGCTGAGATTCACATTCCCCCAACAGGGAATGGCTTGGAAGTTCAAGTCTTGTGATGGGACTAGGGGCATGCAAATGGTCTTCAGAAGGATGGTTGCTCTCACTAGCTTACTAGCCTTGTGACTTTGGCCAAATTTCTCAACCTTCCTTCCATTTCTTCCTCCGTAAAATGTATTGGGTGGGCTACTATATAAGCACTTAGACCAGTTCCTGGTATACACTAGGTACTAAATAAATGAGTGCCTAAGAAACTAACTCCATAAGTGTTTGCTGTTAGTATTTATTGAAGCCTGGGAGCTGGATGGATAGATTGGGGGCAAATCAAGGCTGCCTTGACCTTGACCATTTCTGCAAACTCACCTCCATCAAGCTCTACCTGAATCCACAGAGGGTCCCTGAAGACTGCCCAGCAGAGAGGGCTCGTTCCTGATGTGGACAGGCCAGAACACCCAGTCACACAGAGCCTCTCCATCTTGTCTCACATCGTCACTTGCTTCTGAGCTATCACGTTCCACTCGCTGGTTGTACACTCGACAAACACAGTGAATTCCCCAGGGGCTGTGAACTGGTGGAAAACGCTGCTGGACAAACTGCCAACAACGGTCAGAAACATTACCAGTGTTGGGCTCACACACACGGGCATTCACATGTGTGCATGTGTGCACTCCCACCATACATCTCCCCCGCTCTGCAAAGATAAAAAACAATGAAGAAAAAGATGGTACACGACCAAGCCACGCTCTCTGTGTTTGTGAAGGTTACACTGAGACTCCTGGAGCAGGTGAGAAATGGAAGAAATAGCTCTGACTAATTAGGGAGTCGAATACTTGGCTGCAAGTCCGTTGTCTGCCATTTTCTCCCTCTGTGGCTCATATACACCCCCTCTCTGGGCCTTCTTGCTTCATCTGTAAAATACTATGCCCCAGCCTACCTTTCTGAGCCTTGTTTTCTCCATTTGTAAAATGGGATGAGTCCAAACATATCAAAATTGTGAGTATGTTTTGCTTCTCATTTTCCCAAGGGGACTAATTTAAAATCTCTCAAATGGCCCCAAAAGATTCATGTGACCTCCCCTCCTGTCCTCCTCCTCAGCTCCTGCCACACTCCCCTTCTGTAACTATACTGGTAGCTCAGGCCTCTTTCCAGTTCATAGAACATGTCACTTCTTCCCCACCCCAAGGCCCAGAAGTGCTCTTTACAGGGAAGCCTCTTGCCCATCCCTTTGCTCATACACTTGCTCTTCCTTCAGTTCTCAGCTTAAACATCACCTCCTCAGGGGCGTCTTCTTAGATTCTTTTATAACTGCCATAGCTTTGCTACTTCTCCTAGGTGACACTCATCCCTTTTGTGCTCGCTTATTTACTGTCATGCTTCCCTGTGGGGCTGTCAGCGCAGACAGTGTCTGTCTAGTTCTCCCTTTATACCTGGCGTCTAGCACAGAGCCTAGCACATAGTGAGGGCTTGAGAAATAGTTTACAAATGGATACAGTTGTGATAAAGCTTGGAGAACAGTAACCTGATTCTTGGTGCCGGCCAAGATGGAGTTAGCCCACTACAGCCTATTTCTTCCATTAATCACAACTAAAAACCTGGGTAGAACACAAAAAGAAACTACCCAAGGACCCTGAAAAGTAAAAAACAGTAGGCAGATTGCGGGTGAAAGTCAAAACTTTAAGAAGTTTTATCATCCATAAAGACGGGAGTTTCCTGTTTTCTTTCTGGGTTTTTTTTTGTGGGGTTTTTTTTGTTGTTGTTGTTGTTTGTTTGTTTGTTTAATCTCCTTTATCTCTTGACTTTGTCCTGAGGGTAGTCTGGGTCATGGTACTGCACAGTGAGTAAAGAAAACAAAAACCCCGAGAGAAACACCCTCTGTTTAGCCAGAGAACCAGAAAAAGGGCCCCAGTGAGTCTGAGACTACAGAGGAAATACCCACTTTTGTTTTGTGTTAGTCTTTTTTTTTTCTCTCCTGTACCTACCCCAGGCTGTCCTCTCTCTTGGAGCCTCACTGACTGTGTGGGGTGATGCAGACCCCAAAATCCCTAAGAGAAAACTAATCTTTCTATCCAGAGGATCCATGGAAAGGGGCCTGTGGGAGCTGGAGATTGTGGGGAAAGTCCTGAAAAGGAGAGATGCAGAGAAGATGATTCCCTAATTCTGTGTATGGCCCAGCATGAATCATGAGTTCACCCAGAAACTGCACATGTGCAGAACAGACCCAAAGAAATATAGCAAAGGCCTCTTGGACTAAAGTACAGCGTAAACCAGCACCCCGAGTGGCACATGAATGGAACAGACCCTGACGGTTTTGGAAACTGAACTGGAATGGGAACCACTGCTCACAGAAGGCAAGTCAGAATGTGTGGTCTGAACCTAACTGGGTTGGTTGCCTGCTAAAACAAAACAGACAAGAAAAAATGAACATTTTCCAGAGTATTCTTAAAAGGACCCAGAGTGTCAGAACCTACTACCTAAAATGTTCAGAATATAATCCAGAATTGCCTGATACACAAAGAACCAGGAAAATGTGGCCAAATTTCAAGGGAAAACATAATCAGTAGATGTCAACCCTGAGGTGACTCAGATATTAAAATGTCAAAGACTTTAACCCAACTATTATAACTATGCTCCATGAAGTAAAAGGAAACTCTCTTGAAATGAATGGAAAGCTAGACATTCTCAGCAGAGAAGCCAAAACTATTAACAAGAGCCAAGGGGAAATTTTAGAAATTAATAACACAATGTCTGAAATAAAAGATTCATTGGTTGGATGCAATAGCAGAATTGAGATGGCAGAGGGAAAAGTCAGTGAGCTTGAAGACAGAGCAAGAGAAATTATCCAATCTAAAGAACATAGAGAAAAAAATTTTAAAAATTTAAAAAATGAGCAGAATGTCAGCAATCTGTGTAACAATATCTAAAGGTAAAACATTTGTGTTATTGGAGCACCAGAGAGAAGAAAGAGGTTGCTGTAGAAAAATATATTTGAAGAAATAATGGCTGAAAACTTTCCAGATTT